TGTTACATTTATAATAAGTTACATTTTAATATTATTGGCAGTGCGTGGTTGGGATCGGCCACAGGCTCACGTGATGTATTCCTAGGACTGCTTGGGGATCGTGCAGTACACTTGTCCAGAGAAGAATTTTTGTTGAGAAGGGGTTGAGGTCGCTTCTCTTAAGCGGCGTAGTCGTGAAGGATTCGGGCAATTAAGTGATTGTAAGCATTGCACGTTGACGCTGTTGGTTCTGCACATAATCGTTGGCAGAGAATATCTAGCTGGCGCGGTCATTGTAACATTTCAACTTTTTCATGTCTTTTTTTAATCCGCTCAATCTGACACTACGTCAGATGCAGCTGTAGAATCGCATGATCGCCGTTGGTAGTATACTCCGCCGTCTGTCACGTAACGTTATCGTCTGGACTCGAGCCGTCCGTTCGTGAGGTGCCGTTGTGCGTCAACAGTTGGCACAATCTAACGGCGTTGCAACGTAGCGGTCACGTATATTCGGGCACATCGGGGATCGTCCAAACGAGTTGGGATGTCGAAGCTGGGGGTTAAAGGTCAAAGGTCAAGAGGTGTAAAAGAAGGGTGGGAACATTCACGGTCCTTAACTTAAGGTATAGGGAGGAAAATGGCAGATATGCGGCCAAATCTAAACGGCTCGACCTAGCTAGTGATAGTCGGTGTATAGCATTCAACTGGTATGGAAAGCCATCACGTGCCGAAATTGGAGGTCAAAGTCAATGGGCACAGGGCAGATTTAGACATTTTCGTGCAGGACAAACTGGTCTGAGACGGAGCGATTGAAAAAACTTTTTTGTTTTTCAACTTTTTTTGTTTTAAGCATTTTTTATGGCTTTATTGAAAGGACCATGAATGTACTCTGCGACTCATGCCGAAGAGTAAGTGTCGGATAAGCCTTTTGACCCTCAAAGAGGAGGGTTAAACAATGGATTTGTTTACTGTCGTTAAGAAAAGAATTGACTGCGCGGGTTTGCTAGTAGAGATCTATACACGCCTGGATGTATCGAGGCTGACAATGTCACAGTGAAATTTCAAAGCTAAATTTGGTTGAATTTTAAGGGAGGTTTATGCTCCTTAAATCGTATTATAATTTCTATGGCATTCTGTCATTTCTGATAGTACTGTCAGTATGTTACATGTAACGTATGCCACTGCCAGTGGCCACTGCCAGTGCATGTGGTGGTGGTACTGTGTAGTTTTTGCCTGCGTTAATTAGTTACAGGTGGCAGCTCTCTATTGCAGCCTGTAGGCTTGCGTAGGTAAATGGATGAGTGCTTACCTATTCTGTCTTGCATTCTCAACTGCGTTGGCGAGTACCTGTGGTTGTGGAAAGCTCCCATTTTACAGTGAAATTCCACACATAACTCTCACTTGAACAACGCTTACTCAGGAGATAATGAGATGACTTATATATGAGATTCTGTAGTGTACATTATGAATAGTTGGAATACAGTCACTAGCACTCAAATAATTACCCAGGAGTGAGGCTGCGGATTTCCCAGACTTAATTTTCTCATCAAATTTTGGCACCAATATAGACGCAAGTGTGTACGTTCTTGCACTTATTCGGTCCACTAATCTCTGGCCTACCTTGTACTGAAATTAGTTTACAGATATTTGCTATCGTATTGCTGTAAATTGTAATCTTGCACGAGCTGCTCTGGTTGTATCAACCATTGAGCTATTTTGTAACGAGCCAGATGTGCCTCGCAAGGGGTTTAATGTACCTTATTACCTGACTTCATAGAACGCACGTTATCTATAGTAATAATATGGTAATTATTCGCTCCTGCTTTTTGCAATCTGTCGTCACACTGACAGCTGCCATGCTTTGGCTGACCGATGCAACAATGCCTTTGATAGCGGCCCGCCATCTATCGGAATTTTATTACACTAGTTTGAAGTGTTGTTTTTTGGGGTTAGAAATGAACGTATGTATAAGACGTCTTGCTATGCACAAATAAATTCATCAGCAGAACACCAGACACCAGATGAGCCCTGTCGCTCTGCGGCACTTGTTTAAATGTGGTTCCCAGACTGTGCAGGCCTACTCTAGCTTAGACCGAATGAGAGATTTGTATGCTGTGGCTTTCAGCATTTTGGGCGCGTATTTCAAATTCCTTTTGACGAAGCCAAGGGTGCTGTTGGCTTTCGCACATAAAACTATTGATATACATTTGTCCCACTTCAGGGTGTTCGAGAGAATTACGCCGAGATACAAAGTTGACTCAACCTCCTGGAGAAATTTTCCATCTATTTCGTAGAAGTACGATAACGTCTTTTTTTTCCATGTTGCACGCAGGATGTAACACTTCCGGGCGTTAAATCGCATCCCCCAGGTCTCGGCCCAGGATTGAAGAATGGACAAGTCTTGCTGCAGCATGTGCTGATCCTTGATGGAGTTGATCACCCTATATAGGTGACAATCGTCGGTGAACAATCACACTTTGCTGGTTACAGTGGCTGGTAGATTATTGATGTGTAGAAGGAACAGTAAAGGGCCAAGGACAGTTCCCTGTGTAACACCCGAGTCTACTGAAACACAATCGGAGTGTTCCCCTTCCACGACCACTTGTTGTGATCGATGACAGAGAAATTCCTGGATCCATTTGAGTATGTGGTTTCTGATGCCGTAGTGGCTTAGCTTCTTCAGCAACCTCTGATGGGGCACCGTGTCGAATGTCTTGGTGAAGTCCAGAACGGCTATAATATCGATCTGTGCCTTGTTATCATGTTGTTGTAGGAGGTCATGTGCAGTAGTCAGTAGCTGGGTCTCACAGGAATGGTCTCGTCGAAAGCCATGTTGAACGTTGGTCAGGATGTTGTGGGTTTCCAAGTGTGACAGTATATGACGATAAATTACAGCTAGATACTTAGTTGTTTTTAAAAGTGCCATATACACACATAATTTCTTTCATAATATAACCAAGTTCAAATATAATGATATAATGCCAGGTAAATTGATAAACAAAACTTGTTATCAACGGTGGCACGGGACTATTGGAAAACTCGATGAAGACAGTTTGACTTTCATCTAAATGTTTAACGTGTTCAAAGAAGGGCAATTTTAAATGCATGTGTGCTTGTTTAATTAGACTGTTTGACAAAACATTGCTGTTAG